ATTATTAATTATTTTTAACATTCCAATCAACCAAAACTAATATTTTTTAAACAATATTTCATGACTTTATTAAATTAATAGGCGCACAAAACCACAATCCGTACTCAAAGATTACTGTAAATTTATAGAAAAGTAAAGTCTCATTCCGCCTTTCCTTTACTCAAACAGCATACTCACCTTCGTTACCTATTTTCAAAAAAAAAAAAAAACTCACCGACTTACGTATACAAACTCTTCTTTCTAAAAATTCCAAAAATCTGAAAAAACCTTTTTTTTTTTTCTCATTCTATGTCCTCTTTTTACAGCTTTCCTTACAGTGACAATGCCTAATCGAGGAATATAATGCAAAGGACCCATTTGAGAGAGAGAAAGAGAGAACGCTAGAGAGAGTGTGTTTATGAGTTAGAAAGGGAAAATGGGGTAGATGGAGGATACGCGGCTGGGAGTTCTCTGTTACAGCTGCTGATCAAAGCCCCCTAATTGGTCTCTTCTTTCTTTATTTTTTGGTATGCACTTTGATTTGAATGGTTGATGAGGAATCTTGTTCTTCTATCTTCCTTTTTTTTTTCTTTTTTTTTTCTTTTTTGTAGTTTTGTTTGATACCCATTTGCTTAAATTTAATGTTTTTGTGTTTCTTTTGAGTGGTAGTTCTTGCTGGCTGGTCAGAACCCATCTCCAGATTTCATTCATTGGTAAGTCATTGATGTTACTGTTTGTGAGGAATCTACATTCTTTCTCAATTCTGTCATTTAGATGTTTTTCTTCCTGTTGAGATCAGTTCAGATCATGATTTTTCTTCTTCCATCTTAATCTCTTCACTTTCGTCCAGATCACACAATCCAGACACACTGTTAAGCAAATGTGGCAGGGTGTTTGTGTTGTTAATCATAGCATATTCTGTTGTTTGCTTAAGTAGTAATTTTTACCTTCTTTCCTATTGCCTTCTTTATTCATAAATATGAAGATCTGACCTCTTTTTTCTTTTTTTTTTTTCTAGATTAGTAATTCCTTGAAGTGGTCTTAAGAAGCTGCTGTTGCAACAGTTGTTTTTGAGTGCTGTTAAATTCTTTGTTAAGGAGGTATTCCTTTCTCTATTTTGAAGAAGCTGTAGGGAACCCTATAGAGTTGTATATACTTAAAGTCTCTTAATCTTTGCCTTGATTATCTTTTCATGTAGGCATAGGGGATCAGACAAAAAGATCTGTAGGGGTTTATTTTAGAAGAGAATCAGGTGGTGGAACAGATTGAATTGTTACTCTGGCAGTCCGGCCTCCATCCATTAACTTGGTTATTGTTATTGGTATAAGGGGTAAGGACCGGGTTTTTGCAAAGTCCAAACCAGCACTGCTGTTGCTCTTACTAGTTGGGAGACTTGAATAATGGCAACTTCCTTACATTCTGAGGGCAGGCGTAGGTATTCTTGGTGGTGGGACAGCCACATTAGTCCAAAGAATTCAAAATGGCTTCAGGACAATCTTACAGGTATTTATTTCTTAAGTAGTATGATTCTGTATCACAGTATTTGAGAAAAATTTTCCTTTTCCTTGTATATATCTGCTTAGAACAGTTTATGTGATGCTTGGATTCTGGAATAGCTCATGCATATCAGTGCTATGCTGCTAAGTAGTTCTGCAGCTTACAGACAGGAATATCTGAGCCAGTGTTGTTATTTTATGCAATGGCTTTATTGTGTGATCTACCGTCTTACAGTCTAATTTTGATAAAATCAGGTTTTGGTAGGATCAGGAGTGTAGGGAGTTAGGTATAACATGAACATCTTAGCAAGATATATTAAAATTTTGAATTG